CGGAATGGACCTTGTTTTTGATCGTTGACTGCCGTTTTTGACCGCATTCGCCATGTGAAAGTTTTCACAAAAATGCTGAATCATGGGCGAAACTAATGACCAGTGGGATTCGAACCCGCATCTCTCTTTTCCCGGACAAGTGTGCCACCACTTGCACCACAAGGGTCGGGGCTCGTGCCCTATCGGGGGCTTCCAAAACAGGGCTTTAGAAACCGCTGCCAGTTGGCACTAGGACTAAGCCGAGGAGAATGGAGAAAAACCAGCGAGAACAAAGTTTGCTCACGTATCCTCCAGAATCCCTTTTCCTTTAGGACTTACCATTATTCCAAAGTTCTGTAAATAGCTCACTCACTTCAATGTCTCCCTAAGAGCATGACCGTCCAAGGTTTCGTTTTTTTTTGTATTTTTCTGGACATTGCCGACAGGTAGAGTACATTTCTGCGTGAGATTCTTCGAAAGCGATTTTCTAAGAAAATTTTGAGATTGTGAAAGAGATTCGGTTCGTCTCGAGAAGTGAAGGAGTGGCATCGTTTTCGTGCCTAAGGTCGCCGTCATTGTTTACAGTTCTGCGATCTTACGCTTTTTTGTGGAGTTTCGTGGAGTAGATACTTATCGATCGTGGCATCGCAGGATTTCCCACACTCGAATGCAAACGAAGTATAATGCCCCTGAAAGGTAAAAGAAAAGGGAGCTGCTAGGCTCAGGCTTTTGCGAAGGAATCGTCTCGTAGGTCTGTTCCAGTAAGAGGAGGCATTAGTGCGCAGTCTCCAATCCCAATTTGCTCAAGATCTTTGAAGTTACGAATTGCTAGTGGCTTCATTCCTACCCTTTTCTTTTAGTTTTTCCATGTGTATGGATTTTTGTAATGGAGGTGCGGAGGAGCAGTCATGAGTCAGGGGATGATGGTTTTTCGAAAACTGAGCCCAGGAGAGGGAGGAATTTGAGGGGAAAACGAACTTGCTCTGGTATCACGGAATCTCCCCTTCATGTGTGGTTGTCAGACTCGGCGATCGCTTATCCACCTAAAAATGATTTCTAAACGTTTATAAAAAAGCAAATGCTTTTCGTGGTTTCGAATGTTCTGGCGCTCCGCACCACAATGCCACTCTTTATAGGAACCAATGCCACTTTGTTACTTCTGCTGCACATGTTTATACCCGCCGCTGAATACAAAACAGATAAGAGCGCTCATGCAGTTGGAGGGGGCGTTCTGATGCGTGGAGTCCAGACATTTCAAAACATGGCAAATTGTCTTTCACTATCAACGAATAGAATATCCACTTACCGTCCAAACACATTCCGGAAATAGCACGGCTACGTCCATTTATTTCTCGTGTAAAAATTATGTGCGTAAGCAGTCACACTAAGTTCAGATTAGCTTTGAAAGAATTTATTGAATGCTATACTCCATTCAGAAGTTGGGGTAGGCATTGTCGTCGGAAATGACGTGCACTTGATAGAAGCTACGTGGATAAGTTGCTTCCAACACACGTCGCTGGATATCAGCAAAGCATGCCGGCAACAGCTTAGGCCGAGTCATACTTTGCGAAAATCACGAGCGAATTCGCTCGAGCTGCGAGCGAATCGCTAGCGAATCGCTCGAATCGCTAGCGAATCGAGCGAATCGCTAGCGAATCGCTCGAGTCGAGCGAATCGCTAGCGAATCGAACGATGCACCAGCGATTCGAACTAGGTGCCAGCGAATCGAACTAGGTACCAGCGAATCTTGCATAAAGCTTGAAACTAGGGTGTTAGGCACAGCAAAATTTCGGCAATGCTATGCAGTTTTGAGGGGGTTATTGGATCAGCAGATTCGATATTGCTGCGGCAATGCTATCTCACGAAGAGCAGCAGTATCGCCTTAAAACTTATCCAATACGAGTCATAGCGGTTATCATTACGAATATAACTTCATTTTTGGAGTCGTTACCATCACAATTCGATGGAAAAAGCTGTTTCGCGAATCCGCAGCGGCGTCACGTCACGTGGTGGCTTTTTACTACTTGCTCCTTCTCCCGCTAGGGTCGTAATAATGTAGTATTGTAAAGGACTACACATGAACTGGTCTAATGGTCTGTCTAAATTTTGATAAAAAGCGCTTTTTCAACCATGACTAATAATAAGATCGTGTATAGGGGTTATAGCCGCCTTCGGGGTTCTACAGAAGTTGGTCGGGTCTGTAGATAGTTGCTCAGGAGCAAATCAATCAGGCAGCTGTGTGCTCAAGAACTGGATGATGAAGGAAAATGAATAGTACTTTGGGCTCGTTCTTGGCTGCCTGCCCAATCTGTTAGGGAAGACTTCGTGTAGGGTATCAACAAGAGCTGAAATAGATGAATCATTAGAGCTTAGCCTTAGTAATGCAAACTATTTAGATGTTAGCGAGTGATTTGTAAAAATTCGTATTGTTTGAGGTTGTCCGCTTTACAGCAGTGTTCTTAGCTTGTACTTTTGTTATGAGAAATGTAATTTGATCTAAAAGTGTTTCTGCTGATAATTCATTTACAATATTGAAGTGTGATTCTACAGCTCAGATGAGTACGAAAAGAGGATCCTTGTAAGTTTTGCTCTGGAACTACAAACTCTAGTCGGTTATCACCTGCATGGACTTGGGTAGTACAGTCGATATCCGGAAGTTGGGGCAGACGTGTCATCGGAAGTGATGTGCAATTGATAGAAGTTGGGAGCGACTAGTTGGGAGCGACTAGTTGGGAGCGTACGTAGCAACATTCCAATGGTAATAAGCATAAGACTCATGTGAAGCTTTCAAGAATTTGACGTACCCCATAAATGATTATAGTTGCGATCAGTCCCCACAATAGCTGTAAAAGTTTGAACTGTGTGAAATGGACGGTTTCCATTCAGAGGGGATGTCAGAAGGAAAACTGAGAATGTTCATGGAAGGTCTCATTAATGCAAACACAGAGAGAACATTGTAAGTTTTAAGCGTTGAACGAGTTGGCACTCGAGCGAAAAAAAAAAGACGGTAGGCTAATTTGGGCATTTTTCGCTACGGAAAGGACGGTTTGCTCATGATACGCAGTGGAGTTTCTGAACTACATGATAGGAACCTGAACTTGGCCGTCAAGTTTCTATTTTTTGGCGCAGATACTTGAAGGCAAACATTTCCGAGATGCCCCTCATCATATGAAAAAGTCCTTATCAGTGAGCTTTCCTGTATCCTCTATCAATTAAGATCAATCAAAGACGCCGATGTACAAAGATTACTGCCGCGGCACTGTAGTCCATTTGAATTTGAATGAAGCCCAACGGTGTTAGATATTGACTGACATGATCGAATAATTTAATTACTCCTTGTATAAACCAGTCAACGAGTACCTATAGTGGACGAAATAGGGGAGTAAAACGCGAAATTCGGAGGTTGTGTGGCCTCACCAAAGGCTCTTTGTCCGGCGGCAACCACACACTCACTCAAAACCTAGCCTAACACCCTAGTTTCAAGCTTTATGCAAGATTCGCTGGTACCTAGTTCGATTCGCTGGTACCCAGTTCGAATCGCTGGTGCATCGTTCGATTCGCTAGCGATTCGCTCGACTCGAGCGATTCGCTAGCGATTCGCTCGATTCGCTAGCGATTCGAGCGATTCGCTAGCGATTCGCTCGACTCGAGCGATTCGCTAGCGATTCGCTCGATTCGCAAAGTATGACGTCGGCCTTAGTTCAGCGCAACATGCTGGCAACAGCTTATCCACGCAACTTCTATCAAGTGCACGTCACTTCCGGTGACACGCCCACCCCAAGCTTTCGGATATCGACTGTATCTGCGAGAGCGTTCTATTCTTTGGGTTTCATTCATTAAAAACCAATTTGTTCAAGAATTTATATATTTATTTCCCGTTTTTTCAGTTCCATTCAATTAATGTCGTTTTCTTTAAGCTAGAAGGCTAGTGGCGTCAACAAGTCGTCCACCATTTTTTTCTGAGATAGGTGTAATGATGGATCGTTGCCGATTAGAAATGTATCGCTAGGACTCAGCACATCAAAAGGATAATAGCGTACTCCTTTTTTGGAGCGATGAACTTTTGTCAGTGTCCGAAACCTTCCGATCAAATGGCACCGATAAATGTTTATTTCTGTTCCTGTTTTTGACGTGGCACCCACCGCTGCCCAAATAACTGACAGAATCAATATTTGTGGGATATTTATTTTGCAACCTCGCCACTAGTAATTTCGCTAAAAACACTTTCAAAATATGTGAACCGAGATCCATACAGTTGTATCAGGTCTGGAAGCACCGGCAAGCTCTTTTTGAAAGTTGTAATGTAAATAGCGGACCACACCGAGGCACATGGTTGAGAATGCAATTAGTTTTTGTTGTTCCTTGTTGTTAACTCAACTCGACTGCGGTTATGAGCACAATTCATAGTTATCATTTGTATTCTATGCAGTTCCAGCGGAATTTCTCTGTAGTTTACGAACGCTCCTCTTGAGCATTGATGTATTAGAACTAGTATTTTCCAAACAAGCCGCACGACCACGCCTACCTTTCGCAGTCATCAACCTTGGGCACACCCATGCCCAAGTCATATGGTAAACAGATGCTTGCGGACAAGTTCTCAGGTGTCTCTGGAGACTGTGTGACGCAGAGGGTGTTTCGTTATCGTGTTACACTTTAAAAGATCACCAGGTTCCTGTATGAGTCACTCTCAGACTCCTTTTTCTGTTGTCTTCTCAAGAGTTTTGTGGTCGATATTCGCGCATCTCTTCTCATAACCGTGCTGTGATGAACACCTTGATGAATGTTAATATATTCCCAGAAAGAATTTTGGTAAAATTTGATACATTGGCTGACGTATGGGGGTGCAATTGTAATGTCGAAATTCTTACTAACGAGAGATTTTTCTCGATTTTGACGTCGAGATAGGTCAAGTAGAACTGTTTATTATGTTGAGGTGTTCATCCTGTTCCTTTTGTACATTACAAGGTTCGTATTGCTTAATAGGGTCTATTCCAGTCAGGTGGCGTGCGGTGCGCTGTCTGCCAGTTTGGCTCGAGGAGTCCTTTAAAATTCAGCTCTGTTCCTACGTTGTTTCTTCTGATTTTTCATATAATGTATGTGTTCTTGTGTTTTATACATAAACGTCTATGAAAAGTAATATTTACCTAGTGAGCAGCTAGGACTAAGCCTAGGAAGGAGGAAGTCCCCCGGAGAAAACGAAGATTGCTCACGAACCGGGGTTTCCCTCCTTTCTGTGGCTTGGTCCTGAATCTTTTTCACTAGAATAGTATGCCATCCGTCGTTTCAAACACGTTGAGCGCTCTAAACCACATGCCACTCCCCTTAACTAGAGTAGACCGGTTTAATATTTTGACGTTTTTTTTTACCGTAATATGTCACTGTGTGCATAGCGGCTCGTAATAGCGGGCATGGTTAGTAGGGAGTATCAAATCCAGCCCAGGACGATCGACTGTTCCACCTCTGGGTCGGCGATATAGTCACAGAGTTCAGCAGAGAACAAAAACAATTGGCCACTGCCGATGTCATTTTTTTGATCACATGTGCATTAGGGTACTTGTGCGACACTGAGGAAGATTCAGGTGCGGGGCGCGTCCTGGAGCCGCTATCTTTCAGGTTTTATCTTTGTTTGTTCTCAATATGAGGCCAGCTATAATTTAAACGGACCCATCCCTCAATATTTTTGAAGTTTGGACTTGATAATAACTAGTGGTGAATTTTCTCTGGTGGCCGAGAAACGAGGCGTTTCAAGAAATGGTGGCTTTTTTTGCGGTGGGCACTCTTTCGGGCGCATTACGAAATTCGCCAATATCGATGTCGCCAGCGGGGCACTGGCGCTGTGCGTAGGCCAATAATTTTACCTTTCAGCACCTTCATCGGATTTTTCGTAAGTACTAGTAGTAGAGAGTTTGGGTTACAGTGATGTTGAACTTTGGGCACCGCGAATTAGCTGTTTCTTAATTGCTTATGAGACATAACAAGTTGAGAAAACACAAAAAGTAAATATATAACTAAATTGTTTATAGTGTTTAGAGACGTAACACACGGATTTACCTGGTATTTCATCAGATAAAATTCCAAAATAATAGATCTTACGCAGCTAGTGAAATGTAGTCTTGTGTAAAAGAAGTTCACTGACGCAATATGTTTTAACACGGAAAGAATCGGTATTATTCTTTTTATTATGAATTTCCTTGGTGTGAGCCTTCTCGATGTGTCATCGGTTGTCTGTTTGCCCACAGAATGCTCGTGTTTTCAGTTTCACAAAAAGTGATGTGCAATACCGACAGCTAGTTGGTTTGAGGAGATAATTTTTACTCTGGTTGGGGTTGGCTAAAACAGGAGCCTTTCTGGCTTTTCTCACCGCGAAACTTTTCGCCCTGGAAAACAGGGCCACTGATTCGGAGTGGACCATGGGGTTCTCGTAGCAAAAAAGTTTGTGCTGAGAAAAGTCACCTCTATCTTAGCGAACCACACCCGTTGCTCCCCATTTTGTGAGGTATACGTTCGCAGTTGCTCCAGAAGGTCTATTTTGCGCATGAGGGTTCAACACTTGTGGAGGAACGTGTGGCAAACGCGCAGAAAAGAGAACCCGAGGGCTGCCGGGAAAGACTGGTTTGATTGTAATATATTTTTATTTTTTTTGTGAAAATTACCGATTTACCAAAAATGTGCTCTTTTGTGTATTAAATACAAGCTTCAGCTCACTCATTATGGCAATGTAGTGTAAAACGCTTACCATCGTAATTTTCTAGATGTTGGCATCTTTCTCTCCTCCAGTGATCGCTGTGGAGAATTCTCTATCGAGACACATCACTATCGCGCATCAACATTCTACCAGAGACAATCCCTGACATTTGTTACCCCTTCACTTCCTATCATGATCACCTCATTGTTATCACCTTCAGTCGCTGTTTATCACATTATCGGTCTCTGCAGCGCATTGTAACTTTTAACTTTCTATTGATTGATCAGTTTACCGCTCCGTACAGCCCCCTTTGTAACAGACCCCTTTCCTTTTCTTGCGTGCACAAATGCGTACGCTGCTTAGGTACAAGTCAACTTTGTGAACGAATTTCGGTACTGCTCAGTGAGTTATTGCCCGCATGATGATCAGTGTGTGTCAAGCAAGCTATATGTCGTGACGCCGCCTAATGGTGTTGGTTCCATTCATTTTCGTATTGTATGACTCATTTTAAAAGTAGGTTCATCTACCTTTCACTATTACGTGACTCATGATGTCTATACAAGGCGAAAGAGAGGAAAGTTTGTTTTCATGAGTTTTATGTTGGGATTTTTATGACATTCTCGGAAGGACTAGGCATATTTCAAAAGATGCCCAATTTTCTTGAGGGACTCCCACTCCATTTAGAAAGGGGCAAGCAAGGAAGTGAACGCCAATTATCCTGGTAGGAGCACTAACTTTCGGTCGAATTGCCATGAGATGGAGAAATAGGCTCTAATGGTTTAGATAATCCAATACTTAACGTTCTGCAAACATTAGTGACGAAGAGCAACATACTCATTTTTCATTTTTTCTCAAGAGGAGATGTTGCGTCATCTTTATCTTTGTGCCTGTGACTTCTCTAAACCTCTGCTCATTCGTTGCGAGTCATGTGAAGGAACAATGGTGATGACGTTTGAACGGGACACATGACCGGATTGCATAAGTCTAGTTTTGTCGCATCTTGGATGTAAGATATACATATATCGACCACTAGTTCAAAATAATAATTCGATTAAGTTGGCTAACAGAAGGTATCGGAGTTCACAAAAATCGGTTGCATAACTCATCTGAGTGACATATTAATATCCATATTGATGGAAAAGCATTTACGGCTGTAGTTTCCTCTACAAACAGCTCAGCGGCGTTGGATGATTTTTGGCCTTGCGAATGTCAATGGAAAATGACGCAGTGAGCCATGGGAAGCATGTGTTAGGCGCATCTGGCATGAAGGTGTCAGCATTTTTTACAATCTGGCCTCATTGAACGATTTGAACCGCAGCAAAACAGCCGCTGATTGTTTCTAATCACAAATGATTTTGAATTTCGGCTTCCCGCTACGCTCGTCTAGTTCACTGCTATTCAATTTTTTATTGAATAGTCTCATAAAAACGAGAACTCGGTTTCTAATTTCTATGTGCCATCTCGCCAAACCAACTTTTCGAAGCTGTGCACATTCTTCCTTTTCGCTAGAGGCAATTCTCACATGCAACATTTGCAGTTGTCATGCCTTTAATAATTCACATAGGCGGAGTTGCTATGAACTTTTGAAATTGAGTTACACAAGGTATGAAAGATGCCTCCAAGTTATTAACACTGCTGATTTTGTTGTGGATGAGGTGCTGCAAATCGGATTATGAGTGTCATATTACTCGAAAAACTGGAATGCTGTACTTTTCCTTCGATCGTATGTGCCATTTGAGTAGACGGTGCTCATTAGGAAACAACTTACTGTGGATATAGCAGATTGGGAGAGTCAGAATGACACAAGCTTGAATCTAGTTACTTTTTCTATTCACCACATGTTCTGGATTCTCCTGTCTTCTATTCTTTTCTGTGGAATTAGTACGTTGATACAAGGTTAGTGAAAAAGGAATCGCAATTATGTGTAGTAAACATCTGTTGCACAAGAAGAGTAGCAATTAATTCCGCTTAGAGCTCATGACATCTTTCAATTATATTTATTCAAGCTCTACTTCCTTCTCTTGGAACCTTCATTGTACGGTGCACATTTTAGTAGAAGGAAGGACGATTTAGCCTTTCTAGCATCGTCTAGCGGCTCTGCAGCTATATCTTTATTTGGCTGGGCATGGTTCCAGGCTGGCCTGTTTCCTGTCCGACCGCGGTGGTCTAAATTGCTCTAAGTGGGTCTTGGACTGAGGCTGTTCGGCTGGCTTTGTAATTGCAGGCCACCTGTCACTGCTCGGCGTTACGCTAATTATACGGTTTGAATGGGAAACTGACTGTCTGATGGGGTTTCAACTATGCATCAATACATTACGAGTACTTAGAAGTCACTTAATCGACCGTCCGCTCCATTATGGGTTTGGTATTTCGCTTTTGAGGATTTGCACTATTAGTATTAGTGCTCTTGTAAACTGGTGTATACCTATTCGTTTTCACAACTTTGCCTCTCATCAAAATGCTCATGTGGCGGAGAAAGTTGGTAACTAGTGAACCTACGGCTCATTTTATGGATTCCTCTTGAGCAATTTAGTATATCAGTTAGCTTCCTGATTGTGCCGATGAGTTGTCCGATTCAATTCGTAGCCTTTCAGCGTAGTTTTCTGTCGGTCGTATCTTGCCTTCTTTTTTCAAATGTACGTGCGCAGTACTGCAAGTGTTCGATCGCGTACAGAAGTGCAAGTATTGATCTCCTTTGAAGCCTGTAGCTTTTGCGATGTTTCAATGTCATTTCCCTTCGTGAGAATTTGATTTTTGTTTTACTTTAAATATATTCTTGCTAGATCACTGTAAGGAAATGAAGACTGTCAACTGCGCATCGAATTGCACTTAAATGGTTTAGGTTATCAACGTAAATCGTGCGGTTGTATAGTGCATCGACCTATGCAGACCTATGACCAATAGTTTATTGTAATTTTATCCACTTTTTAGAGTAACTACATCTGTCAAAATCTGTAATTGATGTGGTATTCAACGGCTATGAAGATTTAGAGTAAAGCATTAGCCACAAGGTTTACTTTTGGCGATGTTCAGGTCAAAAGCAGTTAGTTCGATTACTAGAAGCATTCATTCGAAGCTGGTCTGCCATGATTTCACTTCATGTTTCTCATGATCTTCTACTTGCCATTTTTTCTGGAGATAATTGATGGGGTGCTCAAAGTACAGTAGCGGTCAAAAGTTTGGAAACTTTTTTATTTTTGATCTAGCGTAGCCAATAGACAATGAAATTGTCCCGAATTCACATATTATATTCAGAATCAAGTGTAGATTACGATGGGTAACATGATTTTTTGAAAACTGAAATCGCATTTGAAAAATACGAATTTTTATAAGAAATGGCGCGTCAAAAGTTTGGAAACTTCCGAATTCCAAAGCGAATTCGGCAAAATAGCTCTCAAATCCACATGATAAATTAGTTATTCGATGAGTAGCTTTGAATTTCTATGTTAGCGTCGTTTTTATTGACATGGAGTTGATTATAAAATAATTTTAGGACTTTTAAGTCGGACCTCACACACTGTGAACTAAATCACATTGTTTGGTGGGATTCTTAACTGGAATGTGGGTTGAGCGACATGCCAGTTCTTCCGTGGGATGTAGAACTCAATTAGACTTCAGATCTTGACTTGGTCGCTTCATAACAGCTTCTTTTTCTGGGTTTAGGAAGGCGGCAGTGAGGAGGTAGGCCTGCATTCGGGTCATTTCCGCGATAGAAAACCCATCTTTTCCGGCTAGTTCTGACTATCGAAGGAAGCATTGTATTCTACAGACTATACTTGTACTTAGCCCAACCCACATTTCGCTGGATACCTAGAACTGGGGAATCGCCGAATGGTCGGACACATGTTCATCCATGACAATACTTCCACTATTTCTGACTGTTGGAATCTCATACTCAAAATGAGGTTCCCATTTGACAAAACACTTCACAGGGTCCACTATATTATTTCTAGGAAGATAGAAATCTCATTCGTCGCTGAGGACAAAGTTTCACCTCTTGGCTCCGGTTCATGTTAGCCGTTAGAGTGCGGAAGCCAGTTGGGCCATCCTGCTCTTGAAGCCCAACAATGGCTTCTTGCTGGGATACCATCCGTAATATTCACCAGGTCGCGGCCGATGTTGTGCTACACTTGGACTTCAATATGATTAGAGGAAAACTGGAAAAAGTTGTCTCTCACTTGGGAATGTCGGGGCACGGGACGTGCCAACCACCCTCCGAAGTATTTGAGGAGGGCCAATTTTCTTGTGAGGATACTTTTTGTGAATGATCATTCTTCTTATGCTTACTCGACTCCAAAAAAGCTAGAAACATTCGATAATATTGCTTCCGTAGAGACTGAACTACTAAGAAACAATTTCAATTTCGTATTCCGGATTGTAGGGTTTAAAAAGGAACCCATGGAAAAACTGCTTCCTTTGCATATGAATTCATTTTGAAATTACACATTGCTCAATGGTTGAACTAAAATTAACAGAAACAAGTGAACATTGAAGAGTAGGAATCATAATGATAAGGGAAACAAAAAGTTTCCAAACTTTTGACGCGCCATTACTTGAAAAAAATCTTATTTCTCAAATATGATTATAGGTTTTTGGAAATTGTTCTTCCCGTCGTATTCTGAACTTGATTTTGTATGTAATATCTAAATTTGGGACAATTTCGTTGTGTATCGGCCGCGCTAGATCAAAAATAAAAAAGTTTCCAAACTTTTGACCGCTACTGTAGCTTTAAGCTTTCTAGCACTCATTATTCCCGACCACCCCATTTACCGAGGTTCTGATCTTTAGAGGATGCAGCTGGTAATGAAGAAACAATTAAAGTTTGCTTTCTATGTTTCGGTTCAAAATTTCCTGCATAAGTCTGTGTCGAATGAAAAGTGACGAACAGCCATTTTAGCCAGGTGTCAAACTTCGTTATTAAAAAGGAACGGGAATGCGAAAAACGAAATTCACAGAAGATATACTTAGTAAACGGCGGAAGTGGTGTAGTGGCAAGTGGACGCTTACCACGCGAGCGGTCCGGGGATCAAATCCTGGGTCGTGAGTCGCCCGGGCCAACCAAGCCTTCCATCCCTCCGGGGTCGGTAATTGGTACCAACAACAATAACACTTGTACATCGGCTGGCCCCCGCAAGTCATTGTATAGGTACACTGTATGGGCCAAACGCCACTACGAATGTACAAATGGAAGTAGAATGCGTGCCGCATCCCAAAAAGGGATTGATCAACGGCAAATGCTTTATCCTTATCCTTAACTTCACTTCACGATCACATATGGGTTTTCTCTAGCCGTAACCTCTATTACTTGACAGGAGAAGGCGTCAAGCGCCATCCTCGGCCTGCGCTATCGATCGTTCGCGTTCCTTCCTTGTCGCGGACTCTGACATCTGCCTTACCTGCTTTACTGTCAAATACCATTGTTTTAGTTTTTAGTTTATTAGGCATCTCTCAAAAATCGATGATCTGGCTTCTTTTAGCGGAAATCTAATCATGAGTGGGAAGATGTTCATAATCAGGCTCTTGTCGGAGGGTAGGTGGAGCTTAAGCGCTTGGAAATATACATAGTCAGCTCGATCCGTGCGCTGAGCGCGCTCATCTCCGTTGACAAAACACTGTGATGATTTGTTGTGGTGAAAAGCGGAAAACAATTGACCCTTGGCAAACATCAACGCGAAAAACAAAAGTGCGCTGTGGTGATCGGACCGGGAATGCATTTCAGAGAAACGGAGTCTTCGTTGTGAACGCCATTACGTAAAATCATAGCATCACCCGTAGTTAGTCATCGCTTGAAACATTTTGTTTTCCTTGTGAGTCCTTTCGTAAAGTTCCTCGTTTACTCTGATCGTGATTTTTGTTTGTTCGCGTATGTTCAGTTCTGCTTGTGTTATGTCTATCTGTTTTCCATTGGTTTTTGGGGACCTACTAAAAAGGCATCAAGTGGCACCGAAATCATCAAAAAGCACTCATTGTATCTACGTTTTGTCACTGAGCCTGATCCCGAAGCCCCTCACTCCCTCACCACAAGTATACAAACATTGAACATTCCCACTTCACAGTGTGAGTAAAGGTACGTCAAATATAAGATATTTTAATTTCTGTTGCATTATAAGTGAAGGGAAAATCGTACTATGTGGAGGGGTTGCCGTCTCGTTTCTAGCATCGATTTTGTCTGCTTGTGGTGGGCCTTGCACTTTCCATGATCGATATTTTGAGGTACCAGTACGACCCATTTTAGTGCCCGCATTAGTATGATGGATATTTCCTGATTATTTCGCGTTTATTTCTTGCATGTGGGATACATTGCTCGAGGCGTACTCATAGAATGTGTTAGTAGAAGATTCTTTCCTTCCATTGCTTGATTAGGCTGAGCGCATTCTATTATTATAGTAAGCATTTTCATCATTTCGCGTCCTCTCCTCGCCTTTTTCTCTACGACATTACTGTTGTCTCTGAATCACTAAAATGCTGACTCCTAATTATTTACAGTGAAGGGAATTACTAAATGGCTCGTCGGCCGTATGATTTGTTGTTCAAGCTATTGCTCATCGGCGATTCGGGTGTGGGAAAGACGTGTATTCTTTATCGATTTAGCGACGACGCCTTCAATACCACATTCATTTCAACAATTGGTTAGTTCTTCCCATTTGGATTGGTTCGGTCTTACCAACCGTGATCGTAATAAAAGTCTCAGATGCTAAATACGACAGGCAAGGTGTCCTGCACCCATACTTTGTGAACATGCCTCTGAGCATGTGACTTGCCATGGGTAGCTCCAGCTAACCCAGTACGGTAGATAAGCAAGACGCTAGATTTTTTTTCTATAAATTGTTCAAAACTGGTGATAAAACTTAGGCGCAGCGTGTGTAGCAGGAAGCTTAAGCACACCTGGGCGACTTCGCGACTCTTGCAACTCAGTTTTTTTCTATCTAACTTGACGTGGTTGCATGTTTATGTGTCTCGTATAGCAAAAACGGCACACCGTATTCGTCGCGGTGCGAAGCATCTGCACTGATCTTTGGATATCATGTAGTACGTATCGAATTCTGCGGCATCACCTGAGGTTAAGTAGCAAAATAGAAACAGCAAGAGGCGCAGTTCTTTTCTGGTAAACGCCATGTGTACAAAGTGCATACTTCGTGAGCCTTAGCGAATAGATGAGAGAGAAAGTTGTTAGTTGGCCTTAGTGAATAGAAGAGTACTGGTAGTTTGCCAGAGATTAGTTGAAATCTTTTTTTTTTACTTTTTTTTTTGCAAATTTAAGGTTTCATATTATTTGATTTCCAGGGATTGATTTCAAAATCAAAACGATCGAGTTGAGGAGGAAAGAAGATCAAGCTGCAAATATGGTAAGCTATTTATCGCTTATGCGTCTTCATGTGCGCTTCGATATATTAGGTTGGAAAGAAGGTCCTGCAATCCTTTTTTCCGTTTTTTGTTTCAATTTTATCTTCTTTTGTTTACAATTCATTAAATTAACTGGATATATACCAGATGTTCAGCCGTTCCAACGCTTGGAATTTTTCTTAGATACCTTTATACCAAACTGGCGGCGTGCGAGTACAGTTAGATCGTCTGATGATTTCTTAATTGCAAGAGGATGATGAAAAATCCGGGCGGTGGTAATCATTCGCTGACTTGTCAGGGACGTACGTTTAGGTGAGTGTCCGTGGCAGTTTCAGAATCTTAAAGGATGAAGCATAAAGCCGTTGATCAATCCCTTTTTGGGATGCGGCACGCATTCTACTTCCATTTGTACATTCGCAGTGGCTTTTGAATGCGATGTGGCCTATACAATGACTTGCGGGGGCCAGCCGATGTACAAGTCAGTGTTTTTATCCTCCCAGACAAGTCTGGTACCAATTAACCGACCCCGGAGGGATGGAAGGCTTGGTTGGCCCGGCGCCCACGACGGTTGAATCCGTCGGCGCGCTCGCCGGACCCGTATCGTGAGGCGCCCTTCTGTCACCATATCGCGCATCTCAGAATTTGATTCGCAAAATGCTATTTCGGAAAATGGGTGATTGCAAGGTATGAAGGAAATAACATGGTCGTACCGAGAGATATGACGAGGCTGTCTCGGCGAATTTACTGGAGTTTTGCAACCGATCCCAGAACCTCTACTCACCAAGTGCCACTACAAGAAATTGTAGCGCTGCGTCCCTAACGGCCCACTATGTATTTAATAATGAGTCCGCCAAACGCTGCTGGTCTCTGCGGCTAGGAGGTAAAGAAAGTTTGAAAGCGTGGTACGATTCTATCATCTTCCCGCAGTGGCTAAAGCTCGAGAATGCTCAATATTGTAAGTCTCACCTACGAATCAAAAAAAGGAAAATTTGAAAAAGAGTAGTACAGGACATTCTTTCCAACCTAATAATTCGATGATTTGATTACGCGTGATTTGGCGACTCGAACAGAAGTACGCAGTTCTGTTATGATGTATAACCAGTACTTTGTAGGGATACGGCAGGTGAAGAAGGTTCATACAATTACCACATCGTACTACCGAGGAGCGATGGGTATAATGTTGGTGTACGACATCACGAACGCCAAGAGTTTTGACAACATTGCAAAATGGTTGCGGAATATTGACGAGGTATGTATACATGGAACTTTACCGATTTTGTGGACGTTATTTATTCGGTAGAATAAAATTGTTATTCTTTGTGAACTCCATATCCGATTTACGCCTACTGTCCCACTATTTTCTATTTTAGCACGCTTCTGAAGACGTTGTCAAAATGCTGCTCGGAAACAAGTGTGACATGACCGAGCGAAGAGTTGTAAGCCGGGAAAGAGGAGAGAAGATTGCTAAGGACCATATGATAAGGTAAGGTTTGGCGCTCTCATTCACGTAGTGAAAATTCGTAAGGCTTGTAAAATACATGGAAGCGCGTAGTGCTCGAAAGTTTTACAATTGTTATGATTTTGCGGTTCACGACATTCAGTCATTTTCGAATTAGATCTTCCTTCAATTCATACATACAGGGCGTATATGTTTATTAGGAACAGCACGTGATGACTGTTGTTCCCACGAGATTCAAACTGCCACATATGGATTTTTGTAATTTCTTAATCTACATATGAATTGGTGAAACAAACAAGATCAGGTCTACTTTCGACCTCTTTCTTTCTGGATGAAAATTACTCTCGATTTCACGAAAAGAGGCTGTTTTTCTATAATTTGTGACCGAACTGATGCCCTGGCATTAACTCGATTGAGTTTTTCTCTGGTCGCGTTTTTACCATACAACTGGTCCCATCTGATGTTGTTATATCTCTGCACTACAGTTTCTTAACCCATGGTGACGCATTAATTGAAATGAAAACATAAGCGAAATTTTCGCAACGTGTGGAAGTATTACTATGATAAAGAAAACTGTTAGGAACAGTGCTCCTGGTAATGTTTGACGATAAAAACGCTTTCAACAATTTATTTTCTAAATATAGGTTCCTGGAAACGTCTGCAAAAGCAAATATTCATATCGACACGGCATTCTACGAGCTAGCTGAAGCGATTTTGGATAAGGTCAGTCGTTATTTAGAACTGCCTCTTTGTCTATTTTTACACTATGTTACGCTCGCAATTAAAATCGCTGCGATAATGATATTGATGCTTTCCTAGGAATAATTATAATTATAGCTTACAATCACTTTACTACTAATAATTATAGCCACCTTCTCATTCCCATTATTCTGCCTTTGCAGCGCACCCGGTGTGATTTCCAGTCCTTCAGTTCCTTGACCTCTGATTATCACACTTGAATGCTTCATAAGATTCTGATTGTCTGCTGAATGCTCCAGTGGTCCTGAGCCCAAACGATTTAACCTGATGATTTTGTCAGCGGTATCACCGGTTGAATATGTGCCAGACGGCTTTCTACCTTGTTCCTTTATTATTACGAAATTAAAAGTAATAGGTTGTTCACCAGATGTTGTTCTAAAGGGTAGGTTCGATCCCGATAGCGCAGCGTGTGTCGAAACAAGTCCTCCCATTGTTAAGACTCCGGGGCAAGATAGAGCAAGCAGTTATCGAATCTACCGAACTTAGGGTTTTTTTGCGTTCTAAAGCACAGCTAGAGATTCCATTGCGAAACTGAACCCTCAGCAGAGTAGCAGGAGTAATTTTTGGGATCTATTTTCATCTTATAACAGTGGATACTTTTGAACTTTGACCTTCATTCCTCATTTTTGATTATCATTTTCATTCTCTATTTCCAAAAAGTTTATATTACAGATGCCAGCACAAACCGAAGAACCTAGAGTTACAATCAATCCCCTCGATAGCGGTAAAGCAGGCAGTGGAGGTTGCTGCTAGGAGTATACATTCGCTTTTTTGGTTCTTATCGATGTTTCCGCTATCATTTCTCATTTTTTATCCGGCTTATTGATTCTCGGGTACCGATAAGTCGGTGCGTCGCTTTGTCGGCGTTTTTATGTAAGTGATCCGTTTGATATTGTTTTGTCCTTGTTGCTCCGTTTTTCTTTAATTGTCACATCGTCCCACATTTCTCTATTTCTCATCAGTTCGTGACTCTTCTGAAGGTATTTTGTTCGCTTTTCGTTCGAATGACTCCACACTTCCGTAAGAGCTTTTGCCATTTCAAAGAAGAACTCACCTGCGATAGTGCTTTGTATAATTCTCATTTGAGCCGTGACTTGCTATCGCACCACAAACACATACTAATTCACGTAGAAATCGTGAGTAATCGATTAACTACGGGTTATTGGGCAAGTTGGAGGGAGTGCAGAAGTTCATTTTTTCAGTGGTGCAGTAGTTGTTACCTTCAAGTTGTGATTTTCATGTGGCTATGTTTTTAAATCTTTTGCTTAGCGTATACATCTACAGGTGTATCGCACATCATTAATTAATTAGGTGAGATATCTATCTCTTGGACACCGATTTTGGATGAATAGATATTTAAATGCTGACACATCACTCATGTAATTAAGTATGAAAGGTGTGAAAAGATTCAATGCGACTTGTAATTGGTGAAGCTGCGTTGGGGTAACGTTAGGAGCTTGTAGACATGGAGAATCTGCGACATGATTATATGTATATTGAATACTCCACTATCGAAGGTGACTTTCGTCCGTGGTTCTAGATTCTTTTGCGGTTCCCAGTTCCGACAGGGGGGTCTTTCAGGATGTGGAGCGTTTTTTTTTCAAAATGGTTTTTGCATGTTGTAGAGGCTCATGTGAGGAACACAGAACCATGGTTCATTTTTCCTGAACGCCCTGGGAATGTCAAAACAGCGGGAAGAAATGGTCTCAAGTTCGATCCTCCGTGATGACAAATTTTTGCAATTTATGTTTGGCGCTTCCAAATTGCTGCAGTACACGACAGTGACATCTATTCTAGACGATGGCGTCATTTGGCGGCAATCTTAGGGCACCAAACTATATTGCAAAAAGTTTAGTCATCACCGGGGATCGAACTCTTGGACCATTTCTTCACCACTTTGCTTTGATATTCCTGGAGGCGTTTCAGGAAAAATGGATCATGGTTCTGTGTTCCTCGCATGAGCCCCTACAACATGCAGAGAACCATTTCGAAAAGCGCTCCATTGTGAGACATTTTGGGAGAATGATTTGGATGTATGTTTGATGCGA